GAATCATACAATATGTGGCCTTTTTATCTAACTTCACACACGGAGCATAATGTTTTCAAGTTGTATCTATGCTGTAGTATGCATCCATATTTCATTTTTTATAGCTGAATAATATTCCATTGTATGGATATACCACAATTGTTTATCTATTCACCAGGTGAGGGACATTTGGGTTGTTTCTACTTTTTGGCTGTTATGAATGTTTCTATGGATATCTGTATGAACATATATTTTCAATTTCCTTGGGTATATACCTAGGAGTAGAATGACTGGGTCGTATGGTAATTCTGTGGTTCATTTTTTGAGGAACTACCAGAATGTTTTCAACAGAGGCTACACACTTTTACATTCCTACTAGTACTGAATGAAGGTTCCGATTTTTCCACATCCTCATAGATACTTGTTATTTTGCTTAAAAAAAATATATATATATATATTTTTTGAATTAGACTTGGAGGGTATTATGCTAAGTGAAATGTCAGACAGAGAAAGGCAAATACTGTATGATATCACTTATGTGTGGAATCCAAAAAGTACAACAAACTAGTGAATACAACAAAAAAGAAGCAGACTCACAGATATAGTGAACAAACTGGTGGTTACCAGTGGGGAGAGAGAGAGGGGAGGGGCAATATAGGGGTGGGGGAGTGGGACGTGCAAACTATTGAGTGTAAGACAGGTTACAAGCGTTTTTAGTATAACACAGGGAACAGAGCCAATATTTTGTAATAACTGTAAATGGAGTGTAACCTTTAAAAATTGTATAAAAAATAAATGCACAAAAAATAATATGTATATATAGGCATCTAACTGTGATTTTGATTTACATTTCCCTGATGACTAATGATGTAGAGCGTTTTTCTTGTGCTTCCTGGCCATTGGTATTTCTTTGGAGAAATGTTCAAATCCTTTACCCATTTTTAAATTAAATTGTTCGTCTCTTGTTTTGAGTTGTAAGAATTCTTTAAATAACCTGGACGTTAGATGTTTATTAAAGATATGATTTGCAAATATGCTTCTCCCATTCTGTGGGTTGTCTTTTCAGTTTCTTCATAGTGTCCTTTGATACACAGAATGTTTTATGCTTGCTGACATCAAATTTATCTATTTTTTCTTGAGTTGCTTGTGCTTTTGGTCTCATATCTAAAAAAACAGCTGTTGAATCCAAGGTCACAAAGATTTACTCCTATGTTTTCTTCTAGGAGTGCTATAGTTTTAGCTCTTATTTTTCGGTTGTTGAGCCACACTGAGTTAATTTCTGTACAAACTGTGAGGTAGGAGTTCAGTTTCATTCTTTGCATGTAGATACCCAGTTGTACCAGTACCATTTGTTGAAAAGACTACTTTTTCCCCATCAAATGGTCTTAGCACCCTTGTCAAAAATGAATGGAAAATAACTGTATGGGTCTATTTTTGAACTCTACATTCTATTACATTGACCTATATATCTATACTTAGGATAGTACCACAATACTTTGATTACTGTAGCTTTAGAGGAAGTTTAATATCAGAGATGTAAGTCCTTCAACTGTTTTTTTTTCCCCAAGATTGTTTTGGCTGGTCTGAGTACCTTGCATTTTCATATGAAGTTTAGAATTGGCTTGTCAATTTCTGCAATAAAACTAATTGGGATTTTGATAGGGATGGGGTTGAATCTGTAGATAAATTTGCGAAGTATTGCCATGTTAACACTATTACATCTTCTAATCCAGGAACATGGGGATAGCTTTCCACTTACTTAGGTCTTCTTTAATTTCTTTCAATTATCTTTGGTGATTTTCAGTGTACAAGTCTTATACTTCTTTTGTTGATTTCTAAGTAACTTATTCCAGGGGTCCCCAACTCCTGGTCCATGGACCACTACCGGTCCATGGCCTGTTAGGAACTGGGCTGCACAGCAGGAGGTGAGCGGCGGGCAAGTGAGTGAAGCTCCATCTGTATTTACAGCCACACCCCACAGCCTGCATTACTGCCTGAACTCCACCTCCTGTTGGATCAGCGGCAGCATTAGGTTCTCATAGGAGCGCGAACCCTACTGTGAATCGCGCATGCGAGGGATCTAGCTTGCTTGCTCCTTATGATCATCTGAGGTGGAGCCAAGGTGGTGATGCTGGCGCTGGGGAGTGGCTGCAAATACAGATTATCATTAGCAGAGAGGTTTGACTGCACAGAGATAATAAATCAATCACTTGCAGACTCGTATCAAAACCCTATCAGTGAGTGGCAAGTGAAAACAAGCTCAGGGCTCCCACAGATTCTGCATTATGGTGAGTTGTATAATTATTTCATTATATATTACAATTTAATAATACTAGAAATAAAGTGCACAATAAATGTAATGTGCTTGAATCATCCTGAAACCATCCCTCCCCACCCCCATACATGGAAAAATTGTCTTCCACGAAACCGGTCCCCAGTGCCAAAAAGGCTGCAGACCGTTGACTTATTCCCTTTGAAACTAATGTAAGTGGAATCATTTCTAAATTTCATTTTTGAATTGTTCATTACAAGTATATAGGAATATAAATAATTTTTGTATAAGGGTCTTGTATCTTCCAATGTTGCTGAACTCAGTTATTAGTTATAATATGTTTTATTTTTTGTGTTTGTGGATTCTTTAAGATTTTCTATACATGAGATCATGCCATCTATGAATAGAGATAGTTTTACTTCTTTTTTACCTGGGTGTCTTTTTTCTCCCTTACCTAATTGTTAGAATCTCCAATACAACGTTAAACAGAAATAGTGAGAGTGTCATCATCAGAGAATCTACAAACAGCAAATGCTGGAGAGGGTGTGGAGAAAAGGAACCCTCCTGCACTGCTGGTGGGAATGTGAATTCATACAGCCACTATGGAGAACAGTATGGAGGTTCCTTAAAAAACTACAAATAGAGCTACCATATGACCCAGCAATCCCACCCTGAGAAAACCATAATTCAAAAAGACACATGCACCCCAATGTTCATTGCAGCTCTATTTACAATAGCCAGGACATGGAAGCAACCTAAATGCCCATCGACAGACAACTGGATAAAGAAGAAGTGGTACATAATACAATGGAATATTACTCAGCCATAAAAAGGAACAAAATTGGGTCATTTGTTGAGATGTGGATGGATCTAGAGACTGTCATACAGAGTGAAGTAAGTCCGAAAGAGAAAAACAAATATCGTATATTAATGTATATATGTGGAACCTAGAAAAATGGTACAGATGAACCGGTTTGCAGGGCAGAAACTGAGACACAGATGTAGAGAACAAACGTACGGACACCAAGGGGGAAAAGTGGCAGGGGGGTGGGGGTGGGATGAATTGGGCGATTGGGATTGACATGTATACACTGATGTGTACAAAATTGATGACTAATAAGAACCTGTTATATAAAAAAAAAAAAAATTCAAAATTTCAAAAAAAATTGTATAAGATGGGAAATATAGCCAACAGTTTATAATAACTATAAATGGGGTATAACCTTTAAAAATTGTGAATCACTATATTGTACACCTGTAACTTATATAGTATTGTACATCAACTATACTTCAATTAAACAATGCAAAAAAAATTAAAAAAAGAAAAGAAATAGTGAGAGTGAATATCCTTGTCTTATTCCTGATCTTAGCAGGAATACTTTCAGTATTTCACTGTTAAGTATAATATTATCTGTGGGCTTTTTATAGATGCTCTTTATAAGGTTGGGAAAGTTTCTTTCTTTGCTCGTTGAATGTTTTATCATGAAAGGATTCTGAACTTGGTCAAATGCTTATTCTGCATCTATTGAGATGACCATGTTTTTTTCTCCCTTTATCCTATTAATATGGGTGTATTACATTGATTTTTCATATGTTAAACCAAATTTTTTTCCTGGGATAAATCCCATTTGATCATGGTGTATAATCCTTTTTATATGTTGCTGGTAATTTGGTTCTATTGGCTAGTATTTTGCTGAGGTTTTTGCATCTATATTCAAAAGAGATACTGGTCTGTAGTTTTCTTGTAATACCTTTCTTGAGTTTTGGTTTCAGGGTACAAACTACTCTTTTTCCATTTAAGTTTTGTGATTATAGTTTAAACATACCTCAAAATTTACCTGCACTTCTTGTACGTATCAAAAATTTTTTTACATTGCATTTTTTCCCCCTTAAAGTCTAATACCCGTGTAGTCTATTTATTGAGGATTGGAACATTTTTTTTTTTTTCCACACAAAGTGACACCTAATACGACAAGGGGAATGGATAGTTACACACTATTTATATATGGTATAATGTTTTCCTATCATGACCCCCACATGTTTATCTTATGGGCAAAGGCTTTCTTCTTGCCCTAATCTCACCACTCTCTTGCTACTAAATTCTTACCACTCCATTAAAGCCCACTTCACATATTACTTTCTCCATGAACTTTATCATAAAGGGTCTCTCTCTCTCTTTCCTCTCAGCTTCTATACAACTTATAAGTTTGAAAGTTTGAAACTTTCAATAATCCATCTCTACATATGTTTTTTTCTGTAGACTTTTGTGGACAATTTTTGTGTATTTTTCTTCCCTGAGAGATTTCCGATTCTGTTTTATACTTCCTTTATTTCATCAGTAGTATCTAATATTTAGTTTATCCTTAGTTCACATTCAATATATGTTGTTTTTATAATTTTCTTAATTCATCCTCGATAACACACCCAGGAATGCCATTAGATATGTAAAATTATTATATTTATAAAGACAACATCTTTAAGCTCGTCAAGCATAAATTAATACTTGTGAATTTTAATATATGCCAAGAATTTCCACCCAGTCAACAATTATCTAAACAAATTCAAAGCATGTAAAATAGATCTTTTTTATTGAAAGTGTATTACATCATTTTAAAGTATGGCACAATGAGAATTAGAACCTGGGAAAAATAAGTTATATAATGGGTATTTACTTAGAAAAAATCTCAAAGTAAACTTATGCCCTTTCTCCCTTATAGCAGCTTGCTTTTCCAAGAATAAATGTGAGTACCTGGTGTCAGCAGCACCACTGAGGTGACAATCAGGGAGCAGATGACCAGGATGACAAGCAGTGCGATCGCTATGCCTTTCCAGTTTCTTTGTGGAGGATTACTCCCCACCAGCTCCTAAAGCAACAGCAGGAAAGAGAAACTCTGTGAGTAAAATAAGGAACTAAAATAAGCCAGTGGATACACTTCATTCAAATCAAGAGCTCAGGCGTATTCTCATCCTTGAAGCTATGATCAACTCCTTTCTCTGCCCTCTGCCTCAGTGTCCAAAGGCCCCAGGTTCTCTTCTCTATCCCATGGCAAAGCCTTATCTCAAGAAGAATTGGATATTATGTTTACAGCTTTTGTGTAACTTAATGCTTCTCCACCCAATAAACTAGATTCCACAGCATAGGGTGATTGTGGTGTTTCTTATTACAGCCAACCTATTAACCCCCATCGAATCAAACCCAAGTATGATGAATTTTCCAGCCCTAAGATCTCTCTCATCTTTCTCTTCACTGACATCCACATTGTTAAGTCCTATTTCAGGCTACCAAATTCAAACATTTATTTAGCACATACTATGTGCCAATTTTAATCAACGTTTGCCTACTTCTCACCATCCTGGGCCTTTTCTTCCTTCTATAGCTCCTCAAACAAAGCTTTAAGACTTCCCAGGTCTTGCTAGTGCACTGGGTAACCCACCTATCCCTTTTCTAGGTTTTAGTCCCCTCCAGGGACCGCATTATAGCAGGTGTTGGGGGTATGAGGGGGATCTGGAGACATTGCTAAAGAATGCTAAAGGTTGAAAAGATCTAGGAAATTAATCAGGCGTATTGGCTGCTGAGACCAAACTTTCAGTTCCTTTCAAATTAGGATGATTATATAATTTACAGTCCAAACTAGGATCATTTGAGAGACAAAGGGGGTAATATTAATAATCAATAAATATAATAGTTACATACCAGTAATTATTATTATTAATTATACAAGAGCAACTGGGACTCTCCAGGGCAAATTAAGTCATATGGTCACACTGCAAATGAATTACTGCCCCTCCTGCCTATACATAGATCACAAAATATTCTCTCTTATAGCGCCCACTATTGCGACTTGCATTAACTGCGAGTCAAAATGCAATAGGATGGAGATGGCCTCAAAAAGTAGGCAACGTGATATATAAATACACCCTTATCCAAGGCTGAAAGTTCATTAGAATGTATCAGATTTCTGTAAATCAAAATATAGATAATATTCAACCATGGGATAGTAAATAATATTTGACATCTAAATATTTAATATTGGCTATCTAGGTTATAGAATCAAGAAAAATTTGACTCCAAACAATTAATATTGGCCATCTAGGTTATCCAATTAAGAAAAATTCTGAGGACCATTAAAACCTTAGCAGGAAAGTGTTCTACAGTTTTTAGAAATTTCTACCAGTATGCTTATTTGCCATTGAGAACTGAATTTGCCTACTAAAAAGTGGCTTTTCAGCACTTAAAAATAAGACTAAACATGAGTATGAAATTACGACGAAAGGTTATACTGAGTCAACCTCATTTCCTATTGGATAGGGTTTTCTATGGGAGGAAGTCGCTGGCTAGTGACAAGAAGTGATCAGATCTCACTGATTCAGCAGCTTTTCATTTCATTTACAGAGGAAATAAGCCATTCTCACCAAAGCTGTGAATAGCATAAATCTTGCAGTAGTACTATTCCTAAGACCATGATAGTGTACATGACCTCCCACAGAACCGAAGTGGACATTTCTCAAACACTGTTCAGATTAAATCCCAGGGTAACAATCAAAACCGTAACGGTTTCATACTCAAGACTGAATCTTATCAAGATGAAGAATGATGAAATTAGTGGTATTGTCTTCATCAGCTCAAACAATGGATATCTTTCAAATCTTGTTTCTAGTAAGAATAATCTAGGATTCTAAAATTTGTTTTAAATATATCTATTAGATGCGCTGATAGAAGTTTATATGAAAAAAAAAAAAACCCTAAGACTTCTGCTTTGCCTCAACTTCTTGAGCAGCCAGTAGCGTCACTAATTTCCTTGCAGAAGTGTACTTGAATGATGTTACACTGATGTTCCCAGCAGGTCCCTCCCTGGCCCAAGTACGCGCACAATATGGTGTCCAGGTCTAGGCTGGATATTGTCAGAGATAACGATGGACAGAGTGTTTCTACAAAGAGGACCCGAAGACAGAGACATTGCAAAATATGTCATATGAAGTAAGGCTGAAGGAAGGGTTCAGACTCAAAAACCAAATACTTAGTCTCTGTCTATTTGAATTATCACATGCCAGACAGAGGACTTCTTCTGCATAGTCCAGATGCCAGAGTTAGAACCAAAAGGAAATTTCACAGAGACAGAATTATGTATCAAAAAACCTTCAGAATTTCTAACTACTAGTATTGCTTCATGACAGAATGGGCTGCTTCACCAGGACGTGAGCAGGGTGGATGAACAGCTCCCAGGGATCCAGGAGGGCGAGCCCAGGGAGGAAGGTGGATGTAAGAGATCTTAAAAATGTCTAACACAGTGTACATTCTATGGACACACAGGGCAGGGAAAAGAAAAATGAAGAACCATGAGGTGGCTCCAGTAAGTGGGAAAATGAATGAAAGGACAGTTCAGAAAGAGGACAAAGACTCTGCTCCCTGCATGCTCACTGTGCTAAGGACAGAAAACCAATTCAGTGTATATTACTGGATGGACGAATGCACAATAGGATAACCAAACAGGCGTTGATAGCAGAGCCCACTTAAGTGAAGTGATTCTGGATCACTGATGCCATTTTTTAAGTAGAGATGAACCACACTTCTTTCAGGTAACATTCTTACTTTTAAAAAGCAGAGTAGGGCTTCCCCGGTGGCACAGTGGTTGAGAGTCCGCCTGCCGATGCAGGGGACACGGGTTCGTGCCCCGGTCCGGGAGGATCCCACATGCCGCGGAGCGGCTGGGCCCGTGAGCCATGGCCGCTGAGCCTGCGCGTCCGGAGCCTGTGCTCCGCAACGGGAGAGGCCACAGCACTGAGAGGCCCGCATACCGCACACACACAAAAAAAAAAGGCAGGGTAATTTTACCCACAGAAATGCAGACAGTCTTTAGCCAAATTTCATTTTCAGAGTGCAGGTAATTTATTTTTTTAACTACACAAACAATATTACTACAATAATAATAGAAAACGGAGGAAAAAAAAAAAACCACGAACCATCTTGCTAATGGTTCCAAGAAAACAAAAGTTTTCATTTTTCCATCTTCCTCTCCAGTCCTGGTCGATATGCATATTTAATTTTTACACAGGTAAAACCAGAACATAGATCTGGTTTTTGAGTTAGAATGCAGGTTAACAGTGAAAATCTAACTTGAACATCTGATTTGGCATCCCAAATTCAGACTTCCTCATCTTAACTTGCAGGAGTTGAATTATGGAAAATTTGAGTAGAACTGTTCTTGCTTCCCATGAAGGGCAAGAGAAGTTAATAAATTATCCCCTGAAATGTTGAGCTTCAGTAGTGCATCTCTCAACAGAATTACATATTTTTGCCTAGAATGATGAGATTGAGGCTGTAATATATTCTCTGTTCTGTTTGGTAATCATGCATATCTTATACAGATGCAATACAATGGAAAAGCATGTTTACAATTAAACACTGGCCTAAGAAGGTGAACAAATCTCCCATCCATCCATCCATCCATCCATCCATTGATATTTTATCCAGGCTTACTCTGGCAAGCACTGTTCTGAGACCCTGTTATGGCACTGTTATCAACCCGACAAGTCCAAAAGCTTTCATTTGTTCCATATTCCTTTCTTGTATTCTAGTGCAGGGATGGGGGACAAACAATAAACAGATAAACACACTAAGAAGAAAAAAACAGGACCGAGGGGGTCTTGTCACCTCTTTGTATATAAAGAGGTCAGATAGATTTCCTAATAAAGAGACATTTGAACAGAAACTGAAAGAAGTACAGCTGGGAAGAAGCACATCAGACTGCTGTGGACTGAACTGTGTTCCCCCTTAAATTCATGCGCTGATGCCTTAAACCTCAATGTGATGGTATATGAAGATGGAACCTTTGGGAGGTAATCACAGTTAGGTGAGGTCATGAGGGTGGGGTCCTCGTGATAGGGTTAGTACCCTTATAAGAAGAGACACCAGAAAGCTTGCCTCCCTTCTCTCCACCTGTATACGTGGAGAAAAGGCTGTGTGAGGACACAGAGAGAAGGTGACCATCTTCAACCCAAGGAGAGAGCCCTCACCAGATACCACAGCTGGCATCCTGATCTTGGACTTCCAGTCTCCAGAACTGTGAAAGATAAATCTCTGTGTTTAAGCTGCCTGGTCTATGGTGTTGTGTTATAGCAGCCCCAGACAGAGTAAGACACAGGCTGACATCTGAGGGCAAACAATCCAGGTAGAGGGAGAGGCAGGAATACAGTCCGTAAGATAGTGTGCGCTTTGGTGTGGAGGACAGCAAAGAGACAGGGGCCAGGGTGGCCATAGTGATGTGAGTGAGATGACCACACTGAGCAAGGAGGGTGGGAGTCTGGATGTCACAGTGCAGGAGAGTAGGGTCTGGATGCCATAGTGCGGGTTGGCTTTTCCTCTGAGTGCAAGGCATATAAGAAAGCAGTGCATGAACCAGACTCCCACAAAAAGATCCCCAGGGGAGCTGCTTCATGGAGAGCAAAGAATATGGAAGCAAGGGTGGGCCCAGCAGGGACCCACTAGGAGGCCAGGGTGATGGAGGTGTGTCCCAGGTGGTAGTGGTACAGGTGGTGAAAAGTGGTTGATCCTGGGCATGTAATAGAAAACGTCAGTCAACCATGCTTTTGGGAGCAGATAATACACACCTAGGTGTCAGGACACGTTTATGTACCCCTTTTGCATTTAGAGCCCTCTCTGAGGCTACTGTCTTCTGTGCTCAAGTAAAAAGCCCTTTGCACATCACTCCAAAGAAAGTCTCCCCTCCTTCCCTCTACCTCTGAGCCAAGCCTAAGCCCTCCCCACTCTCTGCTCCAGGAACCATTTCCTCCTGTGTCCCAACCCCCCACCCCCAGCTTCGCACATACCATTGACTTCTGTCTCCTGACACTCCTCTCTGGCAAA